CCGGCGAGTCACACGGCGACGCTCGGTACGGACGGCGGTCCTCTCGGCTGCGGCTACGGCTGCTCCGGCGACGATGGCTTGGCCGGCGTCCTCACGGCCACGGCTATCCCGGCGGTCCTCACGGCCAGAGTAGGGGAAGGACGGTGAGGTGAGGTGAGGGTGGTGATGGTGGTACACGGCGGTGCGGAACGGCGGCGATCGGCGCTCCGGCGTGCTCGGCTTCCCGGCGGCGAACGACAACGGGGACAGCTATTCAAGGCCAAGGAAAAGGAGAGAGAGATGGGATGGTCGGCTGAGGATGATGGTGGTGAGGTGAGACGGAGACGGTGGCACGACTGAATGACGATGGCGTGTGGTGGCCGGCGCTGGTGTGGCTCCGGCGGTGGTTGGCCGAAGGAGGAAACGGCAAAGGAGAGGCGAACGGGAGAGGGGGAGCGGCCGAATGGCGAAGGAGAGAGAGAATGAGAGTCAAAGTTGGTCAAATACCCCCTTAGTGGATGCCACATGTCACAATCCTAGGCATCTTGACCATTTTACCCTTAATCTAATGGCCCGTAATTATCCTAGAAATTCAATAAATTCTAATAATTATCCACTTAATTAATCCTCAATTATTGCCCAAAATTGGTCCAAATTCGGAATAGAGAAAATTGGGCACAGGGGCATTGTCGTAATTTTTCGGCCCCGGGTCGAAATTCCATTTTTCAACCGTACCAACCTCAAATATGTGTGGCCACTCAAAAATGACATCGGCCTCGCAAAATAGTCGTAAACGTCCACGAAATTTCGACATCGAAGTTCGGGTCCTATTTCGCGATCAAATTTGCTCATTTCAGAATTTTAGGGCCTCTCACTAACGGGCGGCTGTTTATGAGTTACGCGTATCGACCTAGGGTTGTCCGAGTCGTGATGGCCTCGATTTTCGGGAGGACGGGAGGAATTATCACTAGTGTCAGAGGTCACGATCGTTCGGATTAAATTCGGGATTCGTTTGCCACGCGTACTTTCGGTCGTGCGGAATCACCCGCGATCCGATCGTACGTCGTTGGCTAAATCGAATCCGTCACCTTCCTAAGATCGGCTCACATTGGCCCAAAATATTTCCTCGTCGTTTCTCGAAATCGGTGCCCAATTCGCAATCGGATTCCCGGTCCACGTACTGATTCCTAGTTAGCCATTCCCATTGGGTTAGTATCCCGCGATTGATCAAGTCCGGGCGAGACTCACTAAAATTAAATGAGAATTAATATACACTTTATTGGTCTCGGAAATGGGTCAAAATTAGGGATGTTACAACTCTTCCCCCCTTACAAAAATTTCGTCCTTGAAATTTGCAATCTACACCTATTCCTCAAACAAGTGGGGGTGTTGACGTCGCATGGACTCTTCACTTTCCCACGTGGCACCTTCCATCCCATGGTGTTCCCATACGACCTTGACCATTGGAATCGTTTTGGTCCTCAGCACGCGATACTTTCTGTCTTCGATTCGCACTGGTTTCTCCACGTATGACACTCTGTCATCCACATCTATCTCTTCGTACCTTAGTACATGGGTCGGGTCTGGTTCATACTTCCTCAACATCGACACATGGAAAACATTATGTACTTGGGATAGGTTAGATGGCAAGGCAGGTCGATATGCCATATCGCCAATCTTTTCCAGAATTTCAAACGGTTCGACAAACCTCGGACTCAGCTTTCCCTTCTTACCGAATCGGGATAACCCTTTTATTGGCGACACCTTGAGGAATACGTGATCTCCGACTTGGAATTCCAAAGGTCGTCGTCTCTGATCAGCGTAGCTTTTCTGGCGACTTTGTGCTGTCTTCAGCCTTCCTCGAATGATTTCGACAGCTTCCACTGTCTGCTATACCAACTCTGGGCCAGTAATACTTCGCTCACCTACTTCGTCCCAGCACACTGGCGTCCTGCACGCCCTACCATACAAGGCCTCAAACGGTGCCATCTGGATACTCTGTTGGTAGCTGTTATTATAGGCGAACTCTACCAGATGTAACTGTTCTTCCCATTTGCCTTGAAAATCTAATACGCAAGCTCTTAACATGTCCTCAAGTATCTGAATTGTCCTTTCCGAATGACCATCTGTCTGTGGATGGTAAGCCGTACTGAATTGTACTTTTGTTCCCAAGGCCGTCTGTAAACTCTTCCAAAAATTAACTGTAAACCTCGGGTCACGATCCGAAGTGATCGTCACCGGTACTCAATACAGACGAACGATCTGTCGCACATATAGTTCGGCGTACCTTTCCAACTCGAAGTCTTTTCGCACTGCCAGGAAGTGCGCTGACTTAGTAAGTCGATCCACTATCACCCATATGGAATCGTGTCCTCTCTGGCTTCTTGGTAGCCCCGTCACGAAATCCATGGTGATGTGTTCCCACTTCCATTCTGGGATTTCTAACGGTCGCAGCAATCCTCCAGGCTTGCAGTGTTGTGCCTTCACTTGTTGGCACGTCAAATACTTAGCCACATGTTTAGCCACGTCTGTCTTCATTCCATTTCGCCAATAATGCTGTCGCAGATTCTGGTACATTTTCGTGCTGCTAGGGTGGATACTATAATTGCTGCGGTGAGCTTCTCTTAGAATTTCTTCCTTAAGCTCGGTATCATCGGGCACACACCAACGCCCTCGAAATTTCAAAATCCCATCGTCCGACACTTGGAAATCTAACTTCCTTGTAGCGGCATCCATTTCCACCACCTTTTGAATTTCCTAATCCATGGACTGTAGTGCCTTAATCTTGGTTTGAATTTCCGGTTCGATCCTCAAAGTAGCCAGCAGGTTCGACACATGGCTCAACTCAAATTTAAATTCTGAATCTCTGAGCCTTTCCAGCAAGGTCCACCTTTTGATCATTATGTGCGCCATACTCGACTTGCGACTCAGCGCATCCGCTACTCGGTTCGCTTTCCCGGGGTGGTACATGATGTCGCAATCGTAATCCTTCAGAAGCTCCATCCACCTACGCTGCCTCATATTTAATTCTTTCTGCGAGAATAAGTACTTGAGGCTCTGATGATCCATATAAATCTGGAACTTTTCCCCGTACAAATAGTGCCTCCAAATCTTCGGTGCGAAAACGATCACAGCCAACTCCAAGTCGTGCGTCGGGTAGTACATTTCATGTGGCCTCAACTGACGCGACGCATACGCGACTACTTTTCCGTGTTGCATTAATACACAACCAAGTCCTCTTAGCGAAGCATCGCTGTAGACTTCAAACCCTCCGGGTCCAGACGGAATAATCAAAACTGGGGCGGTTGTCAGCCTGAGCTTCAGCTCCCGAAAACTCCGTTCACACTTATCATCCCATTCAAACTTAGATTCTTTCTTCAACAATCACGTCAACGGCATGGCTATCGACGAAAATCCTTTCACGAAACGTCGATAATAGCTAGCCAGTCCCAAGAAACTCCTAATCTCTGTCACGGACGTCGGTCTGGGCCACTTAAGTACTGCCTCGATCTTAGCTGGGTCCACTGAGATTCCGTCTCCCGAAACTATGTGTCCAAGGAACGCTACTTTACCAAGCCAAAATTCACACTTACTGAACTTGGCGTAAAGTGCGTGCTCCCTCAAAGTCCGTAGTACCTCAGTCAAATGCACTTCGTGCTCCTCCAGGCTCTTCGAATACACTAATATATCGTTAATGAACACTATGACGAACTGGTCCAGGAACTCCTTAAATACCCTATCCATCAGGTCCATGAAAGCTGCAGGAGCATTCGTTAGACCGAAGGGCATCACTCTAAACTCGTAGTGCCCATATCTCATCCTAAAGGCGGTCTTGGGTATGTCCTCCTTCCGGATCCTCAACCGGTGATACCCAGTCCGCAAGTCGATCTTGGAGAACACCGAAGCTCCCTACAACTGATCGAACAGATCGTCGATCCTTGGCAGTGGATATTTGTTCTTTACAGTCACCTGGTTCAGCTGCCGATAATCTATACATAACCTCAACGTCCCGTCCTTTTTCCTCACAAACAGGACCGGCGCTCCCCACGGAGACGCATTAGGACGAATAAACCCCTTATCCAGCAATTCCTGCATCTGGACCTTCAACTCTTTCAACTCTGATAAGGACATCCGATATGGAGCCTTAGAGATTGGCTCGGTACCTGGGGCCAATTCTATTACAAATTCCACTTCCTGATCTGGCGGTAAACCCGACAATTCCTGAGGAAAGACCTCGAGAAAATTGCATACTACAGGTATTTCTTCCAACTTAGGTTCCGCCACTGTCGGATCCATTACGTTCACCAAATATCCCTCACAACCTTCATCGAGCAACTTAGTCACCTCAAGCGAGGAAATCCAAGGGATCGAGGTTCCTCCTCGGTTTTCTTGAAATTCGAACCTAGGATGTCCAATTGGGTTAAACTGGATCATCTTACTACCGCAATCCATAACGGCTTTCTGCTTCATCAGCCAATCCATACCGATGATCACATCGAAATCATGCATAGCCAATACAGCCAAGTCAATTCTTTCTTCTCTATTCCCAATCACGATTTTACAGTCAAGACACCCCAGCGATACTAACACCCTATCATGCAGTGGGGTCGACACATAAAGCATATTCTCAAGCAATACTGGTTCAATACCAACCAACCTAACAAATTGCTCTGAAATAAATGAGTGGGTCGCCCCTGGATCAAATAACGCATATGCAGCATGATCACAGAGAGAAATGGTACCTGTGACCACGCCCGGCGCATCCTCAGCATCTTTGCGTGCCATTGCATAGACCCTTCCTTGCACGGGAGGTCTTCCTTGAATAGCCGGTGGGGGATTCCCGGCTTGATTCCCAACTCTAGGTGGTTGTTGCATCGGGGGTCCTAAAGGGCGCTATTGGGGACAGCTCCTAACCTGATGTTCCAAACTCCCGCATCTGAAACAAGCTCCAAATCTGTTCGATTGCTGATTAGGCTTCCCGATGTTCCTCCTAGGCTGTGGAACAAATCGCCTATTACCCATCATCGATTTCTTGCCAAAGCGGCAATCGTCCCGATTTGAGCAAACCGTAACCTAGATGCGGCTGCTCTATCCATCTGATCCCGTTCCATCGTTTGGGCTCGTTCATACAATTTTCTGTAATCTCGAATGTTCAGCACGAGCATCTGAGTACAAAGATCCGGTTTCAACCCATCCCGGAATCTTCGAGCCTTGTCCAGTGGATTTTCCACCATTCTCGGAGCAAACCTCGATAGTCTCGCAAATTCTACCTCATACTGGACTACTGTCATTGATCCCAGACGAAGTCTCATGAACTCCGCCATTTTCTTTTCCTGGGCACTCTCTGAAAAGTATTGCCCGTAAAAACTCTCAACAAATGCAGTCCAAGTCTGGTCTATGCCCTCGGGAAACACTCGGTCTTTGGTGGCTTTCCACCAGTCATTAGCATCGTCCTGCAATTGGTAGGTTGCCAGAGTAATCTTCTCGATTTCGGTGCACCCCAGTAAATCGAACGCCTTTTCTAACTCTTCCACCCAACGTGGGGCGGTTTCGGGGTCACCTCGGCCGGTAAACTTGGGCGGTTTTAACTTAAGAAACTGCTCTACCAGCTGGTGCATCTGCCTATTCGCCACCACTGGTTGAGCTTGTGCTTCCTGGGCTTGATTCCCATTAATAGTAGCAGTTGCTGCAACCTCAGCAGCCTCGGCAATCGTGGCAGCCCTTTCCTGAGCCTGCCTACCCATTACATTCCTTATCTCACGTAGGGTCTAAATAACGTCCTCCAGTCTGGGGTCTCGGGCCTCTTGGTCTCCTGTACTCGACTGACCCTGGGGTTCCTTTCCCCTTCTTCTACTCATCTTTCTACTTTCTGACACTCAACTACCTGCTATAATTCCACTCAGGAATTAGAGACCTAAACCAACTATACCGGTCTAAGTCCTAGGCAGGTATCAAGACAACAATCAAACAACCAACATGCGGCCTAACAAGAGCCAATCAACACATCACCCAAGGAGTTCGCATACTCACCTCCGGTCCTGCCGCACCTACACTTTACGGGTCATATCCATAAACACTCAATCAACACACAACTGTCAGGAGGTACATTTAGCATACAAGGTCACCCTACTGGCTACCCAAGGTCTCATCGCTCCTTATCACTCTAGGCTTCGACCAAATTGGACCGAGCAAACCTTGCTTTGATACCAAATCAAACGGGGATGTCACGCCCCGTATCCCACGAAGCGCGAGCATCCCAATAGTTCGAATCTGTTGCGACGTCCCAGGACGCGTCGCCGACCCAACGTACAACGCTCAAAGATCAATACACATGCGAAAGCAACATATATAAATACATATATACACCCGTACAATAAACAAGAATACCAAGGATAGCACAATACTAACAATCGATATGATTAAAAACACATACATTTCATTACTATTAAAAGTAGATACAATATCCATTTACGAGGAGTACAGACTACCACCAAAAGCAAACAACGGCCACTAAGGTCAAAAAGGGTCAGTGGCCAAAGGTTACTGAGCTAAGACGGCTTCAGTCAAAAAGATGCAGCCGTTCTATCTAAGGCTAAGGTCAACCAAGGGGACCCAGTCCGGGTCAGAACCAGAAGACTCTGATGAAGAAGAACTGTCTGGCAGCTCCTCATCAGAATCCAACGAGTCTAACTCGGACTCAGCCTCCTCGGGCTCGTCCTCTGCGTCCATCGCCTCGGGCTCGGGATCCTCCTCCATCGGCTGGTCCAACTCATCATCATCCGGCCCCATATCCATCGGCTCGACCTCATCGACTTCGTACTCCACAGGAACGCCATCGGAGCTCATGCTTTCCTCGTTTGAGGTGCCGGGGTCTACTATGTCTCCATCGGGGCACTGGAGATCAATCTCACCCTTCCCGTTAAACGGGATATCAAAAGATCGGAGGGGTCCGATCTCTTCCCCATTAAACGTTCTATAACGCCACGCAACATACTCGTGGGTCTCAGATACTAACTCCCCAACATCTACCCATACTAAGGTATAGTATCTAATGTACATATTCCCGTTCCCTACGGGATGTACGGAAAAAGTCTTCTCGATGAAGTGGGGAATTCCGAAACGGATTGGCGCCTCTGCCATCCTTACTGCCGGGGGTCTGAAATGTCGATTTCCAACAACCGTGAGACGAATCTCAGCAAGTAATAACCCTTAAAACTAAACTAGGCTAACATGCATCTCCTGACAGGCGATTAAAACATACATAACAGTGTACCACAAACATCACAATAATTAACCTGGGCCCGCAGCCTAGATCACTCGTATAGTGACCCTACAGGTTAGACATTTATGATAATGTTCACGGCACATACACGCACACACTGATCACGCGTATGCCATACACATGCTCATGAATCATCTCAGGTAATGCACTCCGGCATACAACTCGTTTACAATTATAAACCGACCCGAAAGCCAACAGTTATTCCGACCCGAAGGCCACGACCCGAAGGCCAACAAATATTTCGACCCGCGTAAAAACGCTTAGGGCCCGACCCGTAGGCCATTTTCAGCAATAAACTGACCCATAGGCCTAACCCGAAGGCCACAACAATAAACCGATCAAGCAGGCATACTCGCACACTTTTCAGCCTCATGCCCATTCTCAGCATACGAATGCTCGACCATAAAATATTCGCACTTAGGCAATAATGCCATGCACAATGAGTGTTAAATCACAGAGGCACATAATTATCTGAGGGCCAAATCAACGTACGATTCAATATGCCTAAACAATAATATCAACATACTCGATTGGCCGATTTAATACCGTTTGGCCCATGCTCAATTTGGTATTTCAGAAAGAACACACGGCAGTATAATGCCATTCATTGGCCAAACGCACCCCGCACTTAGTCGATCATACGAACATGCGGCATAGCAATATTCCACTAAGCACCCTGAAGCACAATTCAGCCAATCAGCAATCAATCTGGGCACACCCGGTAATCACACAATTAAGTCCTCGACTTGCCGATTTTAAAGTCCGATAATACCTCAAGGTGGACAGCCACTATTCATTCCATTTTTGGCTTCCAATTTAATTCTCTAAATCGGCACATTGATCAACCGTGAATCCGGTCGCACTACTCAATCCACAATTTATTCCTAAATTGTACTAATCTACCCGAACCATCTAAAAGTGCACAATTCTCCTAATTCGGGTTTAGGGATTTATACTCACTTAATCTAAACCGGGTTGACGGGAACGAGCGGCCGATTGCCGTCGAGCGGCGAAACCGGCGGCGGCGCTTCGGCGAGTCACACGGCGACGCTCGGTACGGACGGCGGTCCTCTCGGCTGCGGCTGCTCCGGCGACGATGGCTTGGCCGGCGTCCTCACGGCCACGGCTGTCCCGGCGGTCCTCACGGCCAGAACAAGGGAAGGACGATGAGGCGAGGGTGAGGGTGGTGATGGTGGTACACGGCGGCGCGAAACGGCGGCGATCGGCGCTCCGGCGTGCTCGGCTTCCCGGCGGCGAACGACGACGGGGACGGCGATTCAAGGCCAAGGAAGAGGAGAGAGAGATGGGATGGTCGGCTAAGGATGATGCTGGTGAGGTGAGGCGAAGGCAGTGGCACGACTGGGCGGCAACGGCGTGCGGTGGCCGGCGCCGGCGTGGCTCCGACGTTGGTTCGCCGAAGGAGGAAACGGCGAAGGAGAGGCGAACGGGAGAGGGGGAGTGGCCGAATGGGGAAGGAGAGAGAGAATGAGAGTCAAAGTTGGTCAAATACCCCCTTAGTGGATGCCACATGTCACAATCCTAGGCATCTTGACCATTTTACCCTTGATCTAATGGCCTGCAATTATCCTCATCCAATAATGCAAGGGTATACTAGAAATTCAATAAATCCTAATAATTATCCACTTAATTAATCCTCAATTATTGTCCAAAATTGGTCCAAATTCGGAATAGAGAAAATTGGGCACAGGGGCATTTTTGTAATTTTCCGGCCCCGGGTCGAAATTCCATTTTTCAACCGTACCAACCCCAAATATGTGTGGCCACTCAAAAATGACGTCGGCCTCGCAAAATAGTCGTAAATGTCCACGAAATTTCGACATCGAAGTTCGAGTCCAATTTCGCGATCAAATTTGCTCATTTCAGAATTTTAGGGCCTCTCACTAACGGGCGGCTGTTTAGGGGTTACGTGTATCGACCTAGGATTGTCCGAGTCGTGATGGCCTCAATTTTCGGGAGGACGTGAGGAATTATCACTAGTGCCGGAGGTCACGATCGTTCGGATTAAATTCGGGATTCGTTCGCCACGCATACTTTCGGTCTTGCGGAATCACCTGCGATTTGATCGTACATCGTTGGCTAAATCGAATCCGCCACCTTCCTAAGATCGACCCACATTGGCCCAAAATATTTCCTCGGCGTTTCTCGAAATCGGTGCCCAATTCGCAATCGGGTCCCCGGTACACGTACTGTTTCGTAGTTAGCCATTCCCATTGGGTTAGTATCCCGCGATTGATCAAGTCCGGGCGAGACTCACTAAAATTAAATGAAAATTAATATACACTTTATTGGTCCCGGAAATAGGTCGAAATTCGGGATGTTACATGTAAATGCCCATTCTGCCATACTCCATTTAGACCATAAAGTCCTAAACGGTGGTTTACAACTTCGAATACATTGAAATGAACGAATAAGCACTTGAATTACATGGAAAATTCGCCATGGACCTATACATTTCATTTAAAAATGAAAGAATGGTCAAATGGAGTATGACACCCTAATCATGCATTCTAATATGAAAATGGCATTTAGACCAAGCATTGAATGTCATTTAGGCTTTTTTTTTTAAAATGTGCCAACTAACTTGCATAATTGTAAAAAAATGGAATGGAACGATGCTTGCTTATCAGAACGTTTTTGTTTGGTTTTAGGTATACCAACCACAAAGACAAGTGAATGCAACCAGTGAAGTTTTGACACCTAAAAGGGTAGGATATACTAAAGGCTCAAGGTTACCACCTTAATGGACAAGGGATTCCATTCCAATAGGCAATCTGCCTAAAGTAATAAAATATTATTCCACATCGGTGATCGGTATTGCATTTAAATGATCCCATGAGTAATCGGCTCATAGTATCGCCTAAACACATACCTCCTAAGGGTAATCCTAAATGTAGCCGGGGTTGGGCCACATGTGGTGTGTGCTAATGGTGTAGTGCTAAAACAATTTAAAGACATGCATAGCAATTAATAACCAAACAGCACTTCTAAAATTCATTCAAACCACATTCAATCCCAACATCATCCTGTAAAACAAGGGTTAGCAAAGACTACACTCCTTATATCACCCGTCTGCAAAACCATTTAACACTATCGTTAGCGGGACGTACTTGGGATCCTTGTAAGCATAAAACACAAGCATATCGTTCTATCTAGGCCTAAGTCTACTTAAAAAGGTAAATCCCCAGCGGAGTCGCCAAGCCTGTCGCGCCGCACTCTTTTTTTTTTTGGGACTTCCGGGGTTTGCGCGCTAAGGAGGTATTTCCGTGCAAGGGTCTCTCCCAGACCATACCTCACGTGACAGGGGATGGTAATTTCGTATTTGATCTAAGTTTACAATTTTGGAGTCGCCACTAGTCATTATTGGTAGGTTGACTAGAAATCTAATCGGGGTATGGGAAAAATACCACAATCCTACCAACCAGAGATTCTGAGTATGGGAAC